AAAAAAAAAAAAAAAAGCCCAGTGTGGTGGCACACACCTGTGGTTCCATCTACCTGGGAGGTTGAGGCAGAAGGATCACTTGAGCCCAGCAGGTGGAGGCTGCGGTGGCTGTGAACGTAGCCCTGCACTCCAGCCTGGGCGACAGAGTGACTTCGACTCAAAAAAAAAAAGACCCAGTGAGCTCTGACTTGAGGTCCTGGATTCAGCACCCCATGGAACCCGGGGACCCCCAGCACACCCCTCTATGGGGTTGCGGTCACACCCATGAGAATGCAGGCACACTCAGCACCAGGCCCTGCCTCTCGAGCCCTGGAAGGAGGACGCCACAGGCCCCCACCCTTCCTGCTGCCTCCCTTAGCCTGGGCCACGCCACGTCCTCCGGCAAGGGCCGCACCCTTTCCCTTAGCCAGCGCAGAGGACCTTCAGCTGGGACCTGCACCCTGAGCCCTGGTTCCCTCTCTCACCCCGGCCAGGAAGTCCAGGAGCTGCAGGAGCAGCTGGCCCGACAGCAAGTCCACGTGGAGCTGGACGTGGCCAAGCCAGACCTCACCGCAGCCCTGCGGGAGATCCGCACACAATACGAGGCAGTGGCGTCCAGCAACATGCACGAGGCAGAGGAGTGGTACCGCTCCAAGGTAGCCCTGCCTGTGGGCCAGCCTGCCTCCTCATGGCAGCCCTCCCTGCTCCATACAAGGGAATCGGGGACGGAGGGTGGAGGAAGCTGGGAGGATATCCTCTCTGGGTGACTGGCCTTCACCAGAGAAGTGAGATAATTTGCCCAGGGACACCCAGGCACAATCTCTTCCAAAAAGTATTACTGTTACTGCTACCATTACTTTTATGACTATTAGCCAGCACTGCTGTGTGCCAGGCCCTGTGCTTTGCATGGATTATCTTACTACGAAGTAGGTGTCATTCTTTGGTAGATCAGAGAACTGAAGCCCAGAGAAGTTAAGTAATTTGCTCCAAGTCACACAGCTCCCAAGTGGTGGCACTGGATTCCCAACCCCAGCCCAGTTCACTTGGGAGTCTGCACTTGACGCCGCTGCTAGTCCGTGTTCTGGGCTCTGGACCATTTACTGAATGTCAGGCACTTGCTGGGGAGAGGTGTCTGACCAGGATGATGTGGTGACACCCAAATGTGGTGCCCACGGAGAATGCTGTAGCTGGGAGCAGAATAGTGTGGGAACCAGGGAAGACGGCATAGAAAGGGGCGTTTGGGCTGGGCAGGACGGGCAGACTGTGGACACAAAGGGTCGAGAGAAGGGGCGTTCCCAGTGGAGAACAGGGCCTGTGCAGAGACCCGAGGCAGGAAATCAGAGAAAGGCAGGGCCCGGTGACGGGAGTGGCAGAAGCCACTGACCGTCTGAGCAGGTTCAAGGCCTGAGGGAGCTATGAGGTCCCCTGTCCACTGTGGGGAGGACAGAGCTCGGGCCCACGATGGAGCTGCCAGTGTGGAAGGTTCTGGATTCGGTGGCCACTGTTCATGCATTGCTGGCTGACCCGCCCGTGCTAGGTGCTGAGGCCCGGCAGGGGCTACCCTGCCCCATCCATGGGGCAGTCGCTGGGAAGAATCCCAGCCAGAACCAATGTCCCGGGGTGACCCGGGGCCCTGCTGGCCTCGCTGATTTCCCGGAGCCGGTGCCCGCCCCTGTGCCCACGGGCTCCCCGCGCCTCCCCAGGCTGCCCTCAGCCCACGCCCTCTCGCCGTCTAGTTTGCCGACCTGACAGACGCCGC